GTTGCACTGAATGACACATTTTATCTTATAATAAAATATTACAGTACAGTGTGTACAGGACAGAAAGGATACAACAATGCAAATCCAGTTGAATAGAAGCATGAACATGTAGTCTGCTGTTCTTCCATCAAAGGCTCCTGTAAAAGGGAGAAAATATGATGAGATGTCACGTCCCATAGTAATCATCACTTCACTTCCTGATTAAATAAAGTTTTACACATAAAGAACAGTATTTTATATATTTTTTTAAACTCTGTACATCATAGTGAGATATGACAAGTCATATTGTAAGACTAGAAAGATGCTGAAGCGGGTCACCTCACAGGGGCTGCCATTTTGAAATAATTGGATTAGCTGAATAATTCTCTCTTTATATTAGTAACCCCTATTATTGGACATTTCTGCTCATGGATTTTTACAATGCCTTCAGTAAATGAAATCTTGTAATGCTGCATCTACACCACTAGGTGTCAGTATAAAAGGCCATTCACACAAATAACGATAATAATAACTGCATTGTTGAATTTGAGTGGATTCTGACTGGCTGGCAATGTTTTTTTTTTAATCAGATTTTTTTTTTTTTTAATTGTTCTGAAAGTGATTCCGATATTGTTCCTCTGTGTTATATATTAGGACAGCAAGTCCACAACAGTTTCAAAAAAAACTTTCCAGCTGATAAAACACTGACAGCCAATCAGAATCCACCTGACTTAAGCATTAAGTGGGCTTAAGCATTTAAAGCAGCAGATGACAAACCTCTAGGTAAGAATGAAACAAAAAATATTGAGTGCACTTTTAAGTCCAGTCACACATTATTTTTAATGAAAGGACATTTAATATATTTTAGGAAACAGAAGCTACCTGTTTCAAGCCTTGAGGAGTACTGGTAGAGGAAATACAAATTAACCAGGTATAGAAAACCCGTCCCTGGGCCAACTGGGAAATACAGTGTTGCAGATATTGGTCTCCATATCTGTTGAGAGGACACAGAAAAAATTATAAATGACTTGACACAGATTACCGTTGGAGATGCCCACTGATTCTGGCTTATTGAAACAGATGCATCAAAGTACTTACTGATTTCAAAATCAACAGACATAAGATACTTAAAGGGATAGTTTACCCAAAAAAAAGAAAGAAAGAAAATTCTGTCATTATTTACTCATCCCCATGTTGCTTCGACCCTGTATGCATGGACTTTCTTTCTTCAGTGGAACATAAAAAATATATATTTTGAGCGTTTTTGTCCATGCAATAGAAGTCAATGGTAAACAAAACAGTTTGGTTACCAACATTATCTTACCAAAAATATCTTCTTTTGTGTTCTGCAGAAGAAAAAAAGTCATACAGGTTTGGAACGGCATGAGGGTGAATAATTGGTATTATCCCTTTAAACTGAAGTAGAAGTGCAGAAAACCAACAGGCACTGAGAATATCTAGCAAGCAGCAATTGTATGCTGTCGCCAGCACTGCCTGAAAGTTATAGCTACCATGCTTGCACTGCAGATTTGATTCCCCACACATTGTGGACTCATTATCCATGTGCCTGAGCACGACTGCAGCTATTACACCAGACATCACGCTCTGAGAGGAACAGACACTCATCTGGTCTGTTATCCAGATTTGTTCGGTAATTCCCAGACTAGAAAAACTGGGTCAGTAAACAACAAACACAATCCCCTGCACAAATTTTTAACACTCTCCGGTGTTTAATTTGCTCTAAACATGCACATGCACACCTTATCCCTCTCTATAGTCCTCGGCCGTCTTGTTCTCCTCCCTTTCCCTGTATCCCTCCCTCACTTCTAGTGCTTTCTCTCCTCCCTCCGGCACACACAGAAACCCTGAGCTAACAGGGTTTTCGGTCTGGGGGACTGTGAATCCGCTGAGCAGCAATGCTTTGATGTTGGCGTCTGAACTGGCTCTGTGGTAGCCAGGCAGTCCAATGGCCCCCTCGCGCACTGCAGCATAAATCACGCCAGCTCACTTGTGTGGAGAGGTGACCTCTGTGGACTGCAGCATAGAGAAGTGGGTTAAAAAGCACAGCAGGATTGGTATGCCGCGAGAGGACAGGGAGAGGCTTATTTGGCCGCTTCTCAACCGCTAAATGGTTCCTTAAAACAAATGTGCCAATGTGTGCACCGGTTCACTGTGACAAAAAAGCTTTATGTTACCCTTGGCTTAGCAATGTATGCTCTTTAAAGTGGGTGATATCACTCATTTTGCTCAGATATAGTTTACTTCCTATATCTGTGCCATAATCCAGAAGAAACCTGTACTGGCACAGGGGTCATGAAATGTTAGCTAATAGTGAGCAGACAAGAGTTAAGTTTAGAGCATGTTCAAAGGGAGTTGATAAATCACAGAAACGCCATATAAAAAGGAGCTCAACATTTAAGTTAATAAATTACAACTAAAACTGTTCAACAAAAATTAATCACAGGTTAATTAGCCATTAGCAGAGGTCAAATTAGTCCATGCCTGAATTTCAGGTGCATCACTCATGAAAATGTATCTTGGGAAACAGATTTAAAGCAATAATGCTGCCATTTACAAACTAGATAAGCCAAAGAAATATCAGTGAAATCTCACTGTTAAAGACATAGTGACACATGATGGATGCTAAACGCTACCAAAATGACCAGACAGTGTGAGGTGGGTTTAAATACATATTAAAATAACTTCTTGTGGGCTTTACTTCTTAAGGAGTGGTGCATTATCCCACTACACACAGTTTAGGACTTGCATGACAGCTTTTCAATCTTTTACATGCCACAGGCCCCCAAATATAATCATCTTCTTGCAAGGGACCCCCATCCTAAAGTTTAAAAGAGCTACATATTTTTATGTATACAAAAAATGAAAAGTAAAAATCTGTGTAAAATATTATTTGGAAAATATTTATGTATTTGTTTTACATTACATTATTAAATGTTTCCATACTCATAGTGCTGCAGAATTATTAGCTGTATAATCTATTTATTTGCATAATTTTTTAAAAGTATTTTAATTAAATTATTTTATTTTAATAAATATTTCATTTGTTTATTTAGTTTAATATGAGATTTTAATTATTATTTATTTATTAATTCACACTGATGAGCTATAAACTTTTCCAATGACTCCCTGAACCCCAGTTTGACAACCCCTGCTTTAAGTACTAAAACTGTTCTGAAGAAAACGATGTATATAATCTAGGCCTATACATAGGCTTTTTATATTAACACATGATAGTTAACCACCCAGAGAAGCTCATAATTTGGTGCAATGGCAATAAGGATGGAAATAATGGATACAAATGTTTCTTAAAAACATTAATTTCGTTGTTTTACACATTTAGCCCACAAACAAAATGCTTGGCGCCACCTGGTGGAAATTACTGACACCGAAAACAATAAATATCATATTTTTGATAATTAATGATCATGGTTAATTACGTATTTTAATATATTTTCAATACTTAGAGTTTAGGCAGACTGTAAGAATTAGGTATTAGAAAAGCCGACCTCCACATTGTGGACAACAGAATAACATTATTTATAATATATGTCGCAAAACTCTCATATTACCTAATTAGTTATAGTAAACAAGGTTAAAATATTTGCCATCACAGTGAGAAGCAGTTATTGTAAAAGGAAAAATTAATTAGGCAGCCCATGAAAGCCTGTTGTCCCGTAAGTGTAGCCTCGGACGCGTACTCGACTGTCATTGGTTGAACAGAGCCGCCTGGGACGCGTTCAATGTTACTGTTTTTGTTTTCTGTGGGTGCGCAACTTTTGATTCAAATTGCGTTTCCTGTCTTTTAATACTATAATAATATCACCAGTATAACAGATTAATGGTGACATACAGATGGAGGGATTAGGTTAAATAAATTAGGATACTGACGATGCACAAATAGCACGTGTTACGCTCTCTCTTACCATTCACATTCTGCTTAATCATAAAACATCGTATTAAGTATTCGTATTCGCTTCAACAACCTTTAAATACCTAACATTAAAACTTCCTAATGTACAAAAAATATTATATAATAAACCACGTAATTTAGGCAATCAGGTACACTGTGCATGAGATTTTGAACACAAATCACTAAACCGTCTATCATCATTTACCGTTCACTACAGCACAGTTCTCCAGGACGCAGCCCATGTGTGGGCATAAGTTTAGAGTTTTGAACTAAAATTATTTTAAAAGTCTTTAATGCTGGTGTTATAGCTGTTAACTTTATGAAATGATCCGCGGCGCTGACGCTCTCCAGACGCGGAGAAACCCCGCCTTTGTTCATAACCACTCCTCTAGCAACATTGTGTGCATCTTATAATATTGGTTCTTTCCTATAATGTACAGTTGACTGAATGCTCTGTGACCTTTTGCCTGGTTGTTAAAAAGTGCCTTTTGAGGCACCTTTACTTTATATCATGTAATTTATATTACCCCTGGCCCTGTATGTTGTTGTTTTTTTTATTATTTCATTTTGTTTTGTGATTTTGTTGTTACTAGGGTTGTATATTTTTGTGTACTTGTTGCTAATCCTAATAAAGGAAGAAGAAGAAGAAGAAAAAAAAAACACTCCTCTAGACCCAGCTGGCCCGCTTTGGCCCAAGGTTTTCGTCGGGCCAAAAAAAACAGGCCTTTGGCCCCCGAGGAAGCTCCGACGAGGTACGATCAAGCCCCGGAAGTGACAGTGGAAACGCGACTGGCCCTGGCACATCCGCTTTTGGCCCGACAGTGGAAACGCGGCTAATGTAACATTACTCCAGTGCGGGGCCTACAACAAGGCCTTGTCATCGCTGCTGTTGTCTAAACTCTCACTACTGTTAAATTGAACGTAAACCTACCTGGAATTTATGAAAGAATGCCTCCGGCCATAACACGAGATATATAGGACTGATTAATCCCAACTTTCCTATTAGCGGCACTGCAATTGAGCCAGCAAACCAGTAACGAGTGATGAAAGGGATGTTTTTAAACCAGTCCCCGATATCTGACATCTTGCCATATGATTGGAAAGCCTGGAGATTCTCTGTCGGTTCTCCACCGATGCAGGTGCAACAAACGGATCTGTGATCACAACGCAGAAATGCTGTTTCAGTCTTCTTCTATTTTGGTTACCCTGGTGTACGCACTCCTTCCCCGTTTAGTTTACATGACGTGGCCGCGTACAGACGCGTCCTTGTTGCGATTGCTTCCAAAGATGTCTCTAAGTTCAGTGCAGTCCACCTTGTCAACTCTGAAGTCATGCCAAGCAGATATTGGAGGTTGTATGGACATGGTATCAGATGTTGCGCTGGGAATAGTTGAAGCACAAGGTGAGTGATTTCTGAAAGATCATGTGACATTAAAGACTGGAGTAATGGCTGCTGAAAATTCAGCTTTCTTTTGGACATACTTTTCAAAATGTACTTTATATTTGATTTCAGGTATGGATAACAGTCCAGCTCTGAAGAAGCTGGAGGGGATGATTCTGGAGTGCTCGAGACTGGACAGAGAAATCAACTGTTTTGTGGAGTCTGTTGATGAGATGACTGCTCAGGTTTGTCTTAACTGACCGTCACTGGTGCTTTATTTTGACACACAGTTTTTGTCAAGTCTCCCATTGAGCCACCCTGGCTTTCTCTCTATGTTCTGTAGGTCAGACATGAACCTCCTGAGGCCATGGTTAACCTGAGAAACTCTGTAAAGGAGCGATTCACTGAGCTTATGGCTGGAGTTACAGATGCAGACCTACAAAGGCACAGCAAGGTTGTTGCCTTCAGAGACAGTGTCAGGAAATATGCCATGCAAGGTGAGGAACTCACCCCCTCTTGCAACACAAGACCGCTGTATTTTCCATGTTATAAGTGCTGCAGTTCCTAAATATATTATTTTTATGCATAATGTATATGCAGCGGGTCAAACTGCTGCTGAGAATGAAGAAGAGGAGCTGGATGAGGACATTGCTGTAACACAAAGCCAGACAAACTTCATCTGCCCTCTCACCCAGGTAAATGTCAGCATCATTTCACAGCATCAAGTGCACAAGATGTTATAGCCCTTGAGTTAAAAGTTCACATTTGTAGTGATGTTTTTGTGTGTTACTTGTATTGCAAGAAGAAGAAACATATAAAAATGACATATCATTCAAACCTTTTACTTTACCTTTTTCTGACAGGTTGAGATGGTCAATCCAGTGAAAAACAAGAAATGCCATCATTACTATGACCAAGAGGCTGTACTTGAAATGATTAAGGCCAGGCACAAAATTAAGAAGAAATTTCGGTATGTAGTCACTGCTCGGTTCTTTCTTTATGTTGCCCTAAATAAGTATACTGTTATGCAAAATTAATTTCCATATCCAGTCCAACAGGGCTGCATTTATTTGATGAAAAACGCAGTAAAAACAAATATTGTGAAATATTATTACAATTTAAAATAACTGTTTTCTATTTTAATTAATATATGTGATTGCAAAGCAGAATTTTTAGCAGGCATTACCCCAGTCTTCAGTGTCACACGATCATTCAGAGATCATTCTAATATGCTCAAAAAAGCTCATTATTTTTAATATTAAACTTATTTAATGTTATTTATTAAATCTTAAAGGGGTCATATGATGCGATTTCAAGTTTTCCTTTCTCTTCGGAGTGTTACAAGCTCTTGGTGCATAAAGAATATCTGTAAAGTTGCAAAGACTAAAGTCTCAAATCCAAAGAGATATTCTTTATAAAAGTTAAGAGTCAACCACGCCTACCTAAAACGGCTCGTTCTAACACGCCCCCACATGTCTACGTCACGATGTGGGAAGATTTGCATAACGCCGCCCAAATGTTCACGCAAAGAAAGAAGGCGTAACTTTTATTCTCGCTGTAGTTTTGTTGTTTCCGCTGCCATGTCGTGAAGGCGCTGTGTCATCCGTTGTGAAAGCGAAACTACTTTGTTTGGCCGTAATGGGTTTTAATGTTTTTGTCTCGTCGCTCCGGCCGGGACACGGCATCACAGTATGGTAAGGGGTGTAACATTTCCGTCACACGCTTGAGGTATTCGGCCAATCATAACGCACTGGATAGCTGGCCAATCACAGCACACCTCACTTTTCAGACCGATGAGCTTTGTAAAAATCGACACGTTTCAGAAAGGCGGGGCATAGAAAAGAAACAATAATGTACAGTATGTGGAAAATAATGTTTTTTTAACCTTAAACCGCATAAACATTGCATTACACCAAATACACAAAATAATGTTCTTTTTAGCAACATCATATGACCCCTTAAAACTTATACCAGCGTTACATTTAATATCAATGTTAACACTTATCAATGTTAAAAACAGTTTTGCTGCTTAATATATTTCTGGAAACCACCAGGATTCTTTGATGAATAGAAAATAGATTTTTTTTTGTAACATTGTAAAAGTCTTTACTGTCACATTCGATCAATTTAACGTATCCTTTGAACTGTAGTGTATAGAACAATGTAACAGCCACTGTTGCCAACTTTTCTGTCATTCTTCACAGCTGTCCAAAGGTTGGCTGCGGAAACACAGATGTTCAGCTGTCAGATCTCGAGTTGGACCTGGTTATGAAGAGAATGATCCAGAACCATAAGAGACAGAGCGGAAAAACGTAATTTGACTAAATCAGTCCTGCAGATGTTACAGTTGTTCTGGCTGTAATAGGAAAATGGTTTTGCCTGAATTTTCAAATGTAGAACTGGAGACTTTTGTAGTAAAATTTGGTTCATGTTAATCTATAACACATTTATAGTTCATGTTTACAATACAAATATAAATGCACTGTGCTTGTCAATGCTGACCTTTTTTTTTTTTTTTTAAATAAACATTTGCACCGTTCTCATATTACCTCACTGTCAAACCTCAGATCAACTAGTCAAACTCTGTTTGACTATCCTTAGTCAAACAGAGTAAGACTTTTTCATCTCTAGCAATGACAATAAAAACCTAGTTCTTTTCAAAACTCAATTCACAACCAAATGTTTATTCAACATAATTGCACTGTAAAATAATCCATTAGCATCAGGCCAAAAGCCTGTTTTATAGTACTCCACCATGTCACAAAGACATGAAATCAGCATGAGACATGGGCATTAAAACCAGCTGTAAGTTGTACAGGTTTATTACAATATCTGCACCAACCCTTTGACTGCCTCAAAAACCTTTGACTGTGTACAACTAATTAAAACAATACAAACTTTGGAAATTCTTCCATGTGGAAAATTCAGTGAGGCATTTCATGTCGAGACACATAAAAACGACAGTCTGATTGGTTACGCCCGGTCAATATGAAAGCGGCATTCGAATTTGGCCCTAAGACCCTAACAGACAAATACAGGAAAAAGACCTCATGATCAAAAGTCTCAGACAGTTCTGATTGACTAGCTATTTGAGACAAAGGGACACGGGCATCGACTTAAACAACCCATTATTTAAACCCAGAGCTTCCCATACATTGAATTTTCATAATTTTGACATAAACAGCATTTCATTATTGAAGTGAATTATTGAAGATTAAGTCATTTTCATTTTTACATGAACAAGTAGGCTAAAAATAAAGCACACAAACCGCCTTACCACATTTATATAGACATATATATATGTTCACTGATCAAAAAATGAAGACGGCGTAAGTCTTCTGCTCTTAAGAAAACCATCTTATGAAAAGAGAAAACATAATTTTGTCTCAAAAAGAAAAGAGCAAAGGCATGTCCACATTTTCTGACTGTATCAGAATGAATCATATTGTGAAAACGGATACGCATGTCCTTTCAAAACACCTGTAATGTTATGCATATCAGACACACTTCTTTCACATGATGCGCATTTAAAAACAAACCTTGTGTGACTGTGTTGATCAGATAACTGAACATTTAGATTGATGAGAGCTCTGCTGGACAGTCCTGCGAGCTCTTTGTCCTGGTCCGTCCATGTGAAGGTTCAACACACTAATACTGGGAGTCCGTTTCAGTGTTGGTCCATGTCCCCATGTCTCTTTGCACCGGTCCAAGCGTGGTGGAGGGTTGTATCTGTTGAGATTCTTGAGTCGCCATGGCCGTTCTATCCGATGGTGATGCCGAAGCCACACTGAAACTTGTTCTTGCGGTGGTTAAGGAAGGCGCCTAAAGCTAGTGATAGAGGAAGGGGTAACAGCTTCTTTTCCAGCGTCGCTCCCACCACCCAGTTGCTATCTAAAGAACCTGAAGAACAAGAAGAACAAGAAGAGGACAGGGAAGCTTAGCAATGGAACCAAACTGGAACAAACTTGAAAGTAGGTTGCACAATTAATCGAAATAAAACCAAAATCACAATACAGCTTATAGCAAAGGCTGCAATTTAATGAAATAAATATAAATGTGCTGCGTGTTTAGAGTGAAGCACGGCACTGTTCTTATGTGTGAGCATCTCATTATCCACTGATGTTTGAGCGTCTCAGTTCACAGTACATTTTGTTCCATGCAAACTCCATCTCTGTATCTGCTCTGAGTTTGGATCATTTTAATATGAATCTGTGGACACAATATGCACTAACAATCTTCCTAAACTTGTAATGCGCTTAACGATCCCAAACTGGATCAATAGCTTAAACACTGACCCACAAAACAAAGCTTTAAGGGCTTTCTGTGGTTTTCTATCAATATAAAAGTTTGATGGCTTAACATTTGAAATTAAAAAGATTAATACACCAATAAATAAGTGCTGTAAGTTTACAGTTGAAATGTAAAATACAATCATTATTATATAATAAAATATTATATATATTTTTCTTAAATACTAATTTTATTTTACAGTGAAGTGAATTTAGTGATATTTGTTTTATTTAGTAATAATCATACTCTTGATAATAATAATACTAATAAATTACATTCTTCTTAAATACCATTTCTTGTGTTGTAGTGAAATATTACAATAGTAGTATTTATTTTGTTTTTATTTAGTAATTAAAATACTACTACTAACTATGATTATTATTTTATAGCCATATTGATATATAAATTACAATTTCTTCAAATCACATTTTAAATCATCATGACGATTTTTAATCAGAAAAATCACAATTAGATTGATTCCCCAAATTGTGCAGCCCTACATGAAAGTGTGCAAATAATTCAAATCAATCTCAAATTGTTTTGAATGCAAATGTTTCAAGAAAAGTGTTTCAATACCTTTAAAAAGCAGATTTGCTTTAGGTACATCCAACTGATAACCAAACGACATGCTTGTGTCCTGCATCCGTGTGCTGGCCTCAAACTCTACCCCAATCTGGAGCTGTAGGAGGTGTTCAAATTCAAAGGAGTGAGTTTAACAGGTCTTATCTCAAGTAACAAATCTCTCATTTAATACATCTATTTATGGTATGAAGTACCTGGTCATTAGCTTTGTGGTAATATGACGCATGTGCACCAGCTCCTCCAACAGTCAACGTGGCGACATAGTTACTACCTGAGGATGAAAACATACAGGTCCAATCAGTACATTCAATCGAATTATGAATTTCTGCCAATCCTTGAAATGTGATAAAGAATGATCTGCAAATGACCACCTGTGTATCTGCCCACAAATGATGTGACGGTGCCCTCTTCTCCTGGCCTCCTGTGATAGACCAGTTCACCACCCAATACCAAAGCAGGAGACAAGGACTGGAGGTAGTGCGCCACAAGGATACCTAACAGACCAAACATGAAAGTGAATGTAAGCTCCTACAGATAAATAGTTTCCTCATAAAACTTAAAAAGTTTGGTGTCAGTAAGATTTTTTTATAAAAGAAATTACTTTTGTTCAGTAAGGATGCATTATTTCATATTACATCAAAGAAAAAAGTATCAACATTTCCACAAAAATATAAAGCAGCACAGCATGATATGAAATGTTTCTTAAGCAGCAACTCAGCATATTAGAATGATTTCTGAAGGATCATGTGGCACTAAAGACTGAAATTTTGCCATCACAGGAACAAATTACACTTTAAAATATATTCAAATAGAAAACAGTTCACAATATATTACTGTTTTTACTGTATTTCTGATCAGTAAATGCGGTCTTAAGAGAGAACATTACAAAAATCTTACAGACTCCAAACATAAACATAACATCTTGTATTGTTTTTTTCAAACTTGACAGTCATGGACTATAGCAACTGTAAGGTATGTTACCAGATCCAACGAGAACATCTGGGTTGCCAAGGGTAACAGCAGCTGTGAAGTCATCGCCACGGTATTCTGCATCACACTGCCAGTTTACAAACTTGTGTTGCTGCGTCTGTAACACATCATTTATTCAGGCAATTAATAACAATACACTATGCAGCATTGAATCTCATTTTCCACAACAACAGATCTCTGGACAAAGCTGCCATTTTAAAGACATTAGATCATGTGATTGGGATTAACTTCTTAAAGCCCGTGAAAGGATTTATTTCTTCTCACCATATTTTCTGAAATTACTTTTCTCACAATACGAGAGAAACCAGTTTAGCACATAACTGATCTAGCTTACATTAATTGTACGATACATCTATGTCATAAAAAACTATACCATGTGTAGGATCTGCTGATTCACATTCATAGTTTGTGAACATGACTGCAAAGTCGTGCATACCTGCATTACCAATTTAGAGCGAATGCGGTTGGTAAGCTGATGGATGACCTGTGCGTTTAGACTGCCTGTGTTGTCCATGTCACCTACCATGACCGGAAAAGACTGAGGGGGACAGACAAAAAAAAAGAAAAAGAGAGGCATTAACATCACATCCTACTCAGCATTTCATTCTGACTCAATATTGGCATAGCAAGTTGACAGAAAACCGCTTCAAAGGGAAAAATATACATTAAAAACAATAGTTCTTAAAAATAAAGTGATTCTAGACAGTGTTATTTTAGTTTCACTAAAATATTATTATGCTTTATCAATATTTTAAACTTTACAAAAAAAATGTAAAATTAAGGGTATGAGTGGTGTCTTTGTGTATATATATATACATATATATTATTATTGTCATAGGATTGTCTTTACTAACTGCCATTCAGATTGCCATTTTATTTTTTCCATAATCATACGACTACTGTAATTTGAGTTTTAAAAAATGTCGTCATTGAATTGCATCAAAGAGCATATTGTAAGGTTATTTTAGTATTATTGAAATACTATTATAGTTTTTATTAATAATTTGACAGTTTTGATTTTTATATTTTATTATTATTTTTTTTAATAGAATGAGATACTAATATAGTATTTATTAATTTTTAATAAGTTTGTATTTTTTTTATTTGTTTTTTGGCATTTTTACCGTTATTATAATAGGACAGATCAGAACTGACAGGAAGCAAAGTGGGACAGAGAGAGGGGGGCGGGATTGGGAAAGGTCCTTGAGTCGGGATTCCAAACTTGGGACGCCTGTAGCGCAACAGCGCTGGATGTTGGCGCGCTGCCCACAAGGCTATCAGCACCAACATAAGTTTTGTATTTTTATATCTTCTGTTTTCTGTATAACAAGCTGACAGGAAAACACTAGTCTAACACTATTAGTTAAAAAGCAACTAAAAGGCTCACCTCTGCAGGTCCTGTTTGCTTGCTGCCCACATACGTGGCTCCAAATCTGTAACCTGAGTCCCCCAAGGTGCTTAGAGTAATTGTGTGACTAACCTGAGGAAGCAAAAGAAGATGTGATATATTTTTGTCATTCTATCTTTCATTTCTAAGTAGTAAAAATAGAATTGTGTGATAACTGACCTGGAAGTGATTACTCAAGCCCTTGTTGACAACTAATCGTACCCCCTCAATCTGCACAGGGAAGACCTCTGAAAAGCAGACAAAAAGACCGTAAGTAAACATAATAGATCATAAAACTGTAGAAGGTATATCAGAAAATGACCCTAAGACAAACCTTTGCATTTCCGATGACACTCTTCAAATGTGCCGGGGTTGGGGAGAGAGGCCTCTGCATCTGTCCCGGGCTGCCCCTGTGTGCTTGAGGTGGCTGGGACTGCAGACACTGGGGGCATGGTGAAACCTGGGGGTACCGTCACCAGACCTGCGCCCCCTGGGGCACTGCCACCCCCTGAGGCTGCGGGTGGGTTTGGGGAGCCGGCAGCCAACACACTGCCCATGCTTAAGAAAAATACAACAGTACAGTAAGGTTGAAATAGCATTAAATGTTATCATTAGCTGACAAGAACCATAGGGCAAAAGGTCACGTTACTATAGTCAGAGACAGACTGGCAGTAAACAACCTATTTCTAGTTCCAACAACTGCCAACTGTCAAAACCAAATGAAAACCTTCATCTCTCCCGGTTTACATAGTTGACAACTAACTTATAGTCAAGCTGCGACTCTCTTGGCATGAAAGCCAGTTCTGCGCGCATAACAACAACTAGAATTTGGCTCGTTAGAGAAAAGTAGTGCACTAGCATGTGGAGCTTCATTCACGCCTCATTGGCTAAATAGCAGGTAAGCTACGGTTAATGCTAGCTAGCTAACTAGCTAGCTAACATGCTGTGATGTAAAAGAGAGTGGCACATATCTGAGTGAGACGCGAGAAAGAGGCTGTATTATATATACTAGCTGGACAGTCATTTCTATCAGTATATGGCGGACTAATAAATAGCAAGTGTATGAATGCAATGTATGTAACTATTTGTAGGCCTCGTGCTATACTCACGTTTAGCAATGCAGTCCAGTTAAACGGCTGAGAGGCACCGGTAGGATACAAGGGACAACTACGTAACCGACGTCTTGGCCCGCCCATTCCGGCTGTATTAAGAGATGATTGGATAAAAGACACCACGACTGCCTGATGATTGGATACTGAGTATGGCGTCCTCGCGAGGTCATCGGGGAAGGAAATACGACGGCTCGTTCTTTTTTTCCCCTTCTTTTTTCCTCTGGCAGATCTTATTCTCTCTCATTGTTATCTCTTTAATTAATATTTTATTTACAATCTGTATTGTTTCATTATGTTCCAATAAAAACGACGGCTCGTGACGTATATTTTCCACTCCTCCAAAAGTACTCTTCAAGGGTATGAGATGTACATTTGCATTTGTTCTTGATACAAGCATGTTTTCGTTGTTACCTTAATACAACAATTAGAAAATGGACGAAGGGATGGTAACAAAACAGTAGTTTTGTTGAACTAGCTGGTGTTTACATTTTATTCCAGTTAATGCAGAATTGTGAGAAACAATATAGTCATATTTAATGATTATTAATATATATATAAATGAATAAAAATGTTATATTCAAATATTTCAACCATAAACGTTCATACTCTACAGGAAAGCCAAAGCTTTGCCTATAATATGCTTTTATTGCAAACAAGATTTCTTTCCTTCATCAGAGCACAAAATTCTCATCTGAAAAGTTTCAAATTGTTACATGGTCTCAAGCAGGAGGTATTAGTAATCTTTCTCATAAGTGGCTCTTTTACACACTTTAGCCTCCTAAAGAGGCTGAAGTGCTTAAGAGATTGATGTCTGGCGAGTTTCTTCCATTTCAGCCAAGGATCCCCACAGTAATTTGTGTTGTAAGTGGCAACTGTGTTGTAACTTCCCTGAAACCCACCCTTTGTCTTGCTCAGCCTTGGTATCTTGTGGGTTGAGCCTTGAGGCTTTTTCCATTTTGTACCTTACAAAATGGAATGGAGTTTCTAAATATTTAATGTCAGTTAAGTAAGTTAGTGTGAAAAACTGCATCATTTAACTAGATTATTTTACCTTATTTAAATAGAACGTATAAATTGTAGATTGAGAAGAAACAGTTTAAAATGTAGCCATTTAAACTAAATTTATCTGGTGGTGGTGAGAAGGTTTAATCTTAAAAAAGGTTAAAAATACATGTATGGTACTAAAAGTATGTGAAAAGTTAAATCAGTCACCTGCTTATACTATGAAGATTTAATTTACATTATTGATTTTGGACCAATTCCAACTTCTGACCTCCGAGTCACTGGAGTGATAATATTAGTTTCCTTGACGTCAAGGTATTTGAAAGTGAAAAACATTTGGAGAATATGCTGGACTTTATTTTGCTTAAAAGAGAAGGGACAGGATAGGCTGGCATTAACATTTGGAGCAAAAAGCTTTGGCCATTCTCCCATGAATCCTCGCAGTAAAACATACAGCTTCTACTTAATACAACATGTCCAAGAGAGCACAATTCAACACATACAACAGAGGACACAAAAGTTTACAATTCGAGAGCTACCAACTTTATAACAGCTCCCATTTCATCACAGCATTTGTGCTGATATTTTGTAAAAACATTACTCTGTCTGTTTCTGTGCATTAGACACCACCAGGGGAAAAACTTAATCTGATCAATCACATTTCATTGTTTTAATAAAATAAAACCTGACTGTTTCAACGGGGGAAAAAGAAAAATGTATACATTGAACAACCTAAACTGTACTCCAGTTTTCAAAAATGCAGGCTGAACTGCTGAAATTGAAGTCCGGCCTCACCAAACATCTGAGCTGGGGTACCTGGTTGTTGGACACAAGCAAATCTATTGCTCACCCAGCCAATGTTGAGGTAGGTACTGTTCACTACCAACAAACTGGTGGGTCAAATAGAGAACAAGTGATTTATGGGGTTGAGGTACTAGAGAAGTCTAATCTAGCAGGTAACAACAACTTCCACTGACCAAAGCGAAGTTTTTTTTTGCACCACGCACCTATAGCGCTCCTCCTACCCAGCGGAAGTATATAATAGAGTAAGGCACTTAGAGAAACCGAGATGGCCGAAGTGAGCATGACGATGCAGAGACTGACTTAAAAAAAAAGGGGTTGAATGTTTTCGATAAACTTTTGGGAAAGATGACATGGTGGCGAGTCAAAAGTTAGCCAAAGAAAATGCCGAAATGTTGTCTATTTGTATTAGAAAGAACGCACAATCCTCTCTCCAGAAGATATATACACACACACACACACAAAGCTGTCAACAACCAACAGAAGACCATTATGAATGTGTTAAACTTCCTCCCTGGTTTTCCCTGATCAACTGTAAAGCTCCGAGTAAAACTCATTCATTATATAATGCGCAACAACCTTCCACATTAGGCGCTGGATAGACAGCACTAAATTTACTGCTTGTAAAGCTTGGGAGTTTGTTTTTGGCACCCTCTTCTGCCATTATTTTCCATTTCATTGTTCTGGTACATAAAAGGAGGGAAAATCCTCATGAACAGCAGTTATGGACGGTGAATGGTCTTTGCCAGTTCTCTGGGTCCAAAGAACAGTGGCTTATTGTGCTCCAAATGGAAAAGGGGTAAGCTGCCTCAGTGAGTCCATCGAGAACAACAAAACCTAATGAATTTATACTGACCCCTAAACCTGTGGCAGCTGATCACATTTTACCATGGCAGTTCCAGACCCATGAAGCATTTGGTGAGAAAATGAACTACAATAAACAAAAGAAAACGAGTCATCTTTGCATCTGTCTTCAGTAGAAATTGTGCAGAATGCCAAGCATTGGTCCCTTTATTCTCCTAAAAGAAAGGGAGATATCGGTATATTGTCACATCTAAATAGAAGAACAAGTTCTTCAGATCAGGTCATTTAGGACATGGCCTTCTTACCAGTAAGGGTTAATTAAGCTCGCCTGCTTTGTGAGCAGCCTCCTCTTCATCAGGGTTCATGGAGTGAAACTCCGCCACATACAGGCTCTTGTCAATGCTGCTGGGTATGGGCTTTATGTCAGTCATCAGCTGGTCCTCAATGCCCTTTAGGTTAAAACGATCTTCTGAGGTGATCAGGTTAATGGCCAGACCCAGATGACCATATCTACCTGAGAACACATAGAAAACACTAAAATAAACTACATGTAGACACAACAACAACAACAGATGAAAAAAAATAAATAAATAAATAAAAATAACAACCAGTCAAAACCTGAGCTGACGGTTACCTGATCGACCAATACGGTGCAGATATGTCTCTGCATTTTTGGGGAAGTCAAAGTTGATGACTACATTGACAGCCTGGATGTCAATTCCTCTTGTGAAAAGATCTGTGAGAGGAAACATCCCATCAAAAAGGTTTCATAAGCATTTGGTGAAATCCCTGAAAACAGAATTCTATGAATATGGCTATCCGTACCTGTGCAGACCAGGTTCCTACACAGTCCGTTTCTGAAGTCATGGAACACACGATTTCTGTATTCCTGTGATAATATAAAAATACTTTAGAAAAACAAATCGCAGCATGCTCACAAAGGCTGCATTTATAAAAAATACAGTAAAAAAAAGCAAACAGTAATAATATTGTGAAATACAATTTAAAATAACTTTTTTATTTTCCATTTATTTTAAAACTTAAATTCTCTGATGGCAAAGCTGAATTCAAAGCATGTGATCCTTCATAAATTGTTCTAATATGCTGATTTGGTGCTCAAGAAACATTTCTTATTATTATTAATGTTAAAAAAAAGTTGTGCCGCTTGGTATTTTTGTGAAAACAGTGACTTTAAAAAAAAAAATAAATAAATAAAATAAAAAAAAGAGCAATAGACATAGAAATCTTTGTAACATTATAAATATCTTTACTGTAATTTGATCGATTTAATGCCTCCTTTCTGAATTAAATAGTAATTTCTTTAAAAAAAAAAAAACCCTCTTAACAAAAGGTTTAATATATTCTGAAGCTGACCTGCATCATCTTGGCGTGGATATAAAAGCAGGAATAGCCAAGTTGTGTGATCTTCTTGGCAAGGAGTTCCACCCTTTGGGTGGAGTTACAGAAGATGATAGACTGGTTGATTTGGAGCTAAAAAAGAAAAATATATAAAATAAACAAATAGAAAGAAGTAATGAAAGGACTTATTTTTTCCTAGGAGGTGAGGACACAGAGTACAAAAAGACAATACAGTTACTCAATTGTAGTATGCCAAAGAAGCTTTGAAATGGAGAACTTGCAAAAATACCAGACAAATTTAGGGCATATCTGTAAACGGAATGGTCGCTTACCCTGGAGAACAATGTGTTGAGACAGTGCACTTTCTGTCTTTCTGTCACATAAGCATAGTACTGAGTGATGCCTTTCAGTGTCAGCTCATCCATCAGATTGATTTCATATGGCTTCTGAAGGTGTTTGGTCTACACAACAGGAGTGTCATTAACATGATTAAACAAGACATCTAAATATGAGAAATAATCGTGGATATAGTAAGACATTTAACTTCAGAAAGACTAGACTGATTATATAAACCGAGGAGTTATTACAACAAGTAAAGCTCTCACCATAAACTTCTGCACACTGGTGGGGAAAGTGGCAGAATAGAGCAAAACCTGCCTGTTTTTGGGCAGGAAGCTGATGATGTCCTCAATGAGCACCACAAAGTCTTGAGAAAGCAATTTATCAGCCTGTAAAAAAAGAAAAAGAAAAAAAGAATCAGACACCATGAACTTCAATTTTAGCATTCATTTAGAACAGTGGTCACCAACGTGGTGCCCGTGGGCACCTGGAAGCCCGCATGGAGTCTCTGAGTCGCCCGCCAAGCACGTTCTATAAATAGCCTAAATTAGCGCTGTGCAATAAATTATATCTTATCGAGATTGATCAAATTTATGTTAATGATGATAAGCTGTGGACATTTTTACTCAAAATGGATTAATCTAACATCCTATCACACAACAGAAATAAATGTTACAGCAACCAGTGCATGTCGCTAATAAGTCTGCATGTTCTGTGTGTCTCTGAACGCGTGGAGTAGTTTAGTTTCATCTGATACACAAATTCAAACACATGTGACT